GGGTTCGAACCGGTAGTGACCCCCCCGGTTTTCGAGCGGGAGGGGGGGGGGGGGGGGGAGGGTTAGGGGGGGGGGGGTTTTTGCCGGGGGAGGAGGGAGGGGGGGGGGGCAGCAGGGGGGGGGGGGGGGAGGGGGGGGGGGGCGACCCCCGGGTTCCGGAGGAAAAGGTTGGCAATTTTCGACAATAAAGCGGCGGTGGATCACGCTCTCTCTGATATTCCTGCATCAACCGGAAGGTCTCTCTCCCTCTTCTGAGCGCTGCTTGGGCACTCCAGCTATGCCCAATTGCCCCGGATGGGGCTCTCCTGAGGCGGCCCCCCTCGTTGCATGATACTGACGCCGATGTCGGCGCAGTGCACGCGCTTGTCCGCGTCAGCCACGGCCTGGCACTCTGCCCTGGGGTCTTTGCACTCCGGGATGGTCTCGCTAATGCAACCACCCCCCCGAAGCTCTGCGGCGCGGCAGCCCGGGAAAACCTCGCTAATGCCACCACCTCCTCGGATCTCTGCGGCGCGGCACTCCGAGAAAACCTCGCTAATGCCACCGCCTCCTCTGTTCTCAGAGACGCCGACGCTGAAACTCCCGCTCCACAATCATCTCCAGCTCCGACTTGGGCGCCGCCGACTGGGACTTCTGGGGCTTCTTGTTTCCTACGTAGACGATGAGTCTCCCCATCGCCATCCGCAGCATGTGGCCTGCGAACTGGCCCAGCTTCGCCATGGTGGTGTCCCTCATGTTGTCCGGGAGCACCGCGATGAAAGTGGGGGACTCGTCGATGCCGATCTGAATATTACCCGAATCCTCCTCCCAGAACTCTTCGTCCTCGTTCGGATTCCTGTTCTTGCTGTTGCGCGCCTTGTAGCTCTCGCTGGCCTTGCACATATTGATCGGCTCTGTGATCATTGCCTGGCTGTGCTCGCTCTTGTCCTCCATCATATTCAGGAAATCGTTCAGTATGTCCTCCACGTCTCTGTCTATTGATACTGGTACTGTCGTTTCGTCTTCTTTCTGCCGTTCCGACACCATCTCCTGTATGCCTTCCATGAGCGTCATTCCCGTGTGTATTCCTGGCGGCCCCATGTTGTGCCCCTTGCTCTCCTCTCTCTGAGCTGGTTCCCGTAGCTCTGCCCCGCTGCCAACGACTTCCGAAACGCGATTCTGCTGACTGGTAAGAGGAAAAAGTCCGATGTCATATGGCTCATATCACTGATCTCTGCCACCGAGCGAAGGGCCAATCTCTGAAGCCCGTTGATACACCCTCTTAGGAGGAGGAAGAGGAAGAGGAGGAGGAGGAGGAGGAGGAGGAGGAGGAGGAGGAGGAGGAGGAGGAGGAGGGAGGAGGAGAGGACGGAAAAGGAGGACGGAGGAGGAGAGAGGAGAAGGAGGAGGACGACGACGACGGCGACGACGACCAGGTAGACGCTGGCCACCCGCAAAAAAGGCCGCGGCGGCTAGGAGGTTGAGCGGAGGAGCGTCGCGGGGCGGGGGCGCCTTCAGGCGCCGGGCCCTGGAGGACAGGAGACGTGAACGAAGCAGGGCGGCATGCCCATAGGGGCTTGTGCATTGCACCGAGACCCCCGCCAGCCGGCGAGCACGGCGAGCTACACGGGGGGACGCGAAGGATCTACGCGAGCCGCGGAACGGGCTGGCAATGGAACGGGATTCCCTTGTCTTGTTCCCAACCATCCTGTGGTGTTGAGCCTTCATTTTGAAGAGACTGTCCAAACGCCTCCTAATCTCTCCTCTCCTCCTCTCCATCTTCCCTCCTCCCGTCACCCCTTCCACTTTGGCCCAACCCTCACACGCTTCGTGGCCCCATAGGGAGCTCCACCCAAGTCCCCAGTGGCTGCGATCACATGCCGCCCCCCCTCCACTTTGGCACCCCCCTCACAAGCTCCATGGCCGCATAGGGAGCTCCACCCAAGGCCCAAGCGACTGCGTTCACATGCCGCCCCCCCTCCACTTTGGCACACCCCTCACAAGCTCCGTGGCCGCATAGGGAGCTCCACCCAAGGCCCAAGCGACTGCGTTCACATGCCGCCTCCCCTCCACTTTGGCACACCCCTCACACGATTCGTGGCCCCATAGGGAGCTCCACCCAAGGCCCCAGTGGCTGCGTTCACATGCCGCCCCCCTCCACTTTGGCACACCCCTCACACGTTCCGTGGCCACAGAGGGAGCTCCACTCAAGGCCCCAGCTGCTGCGTTCACATGCTGCCCCCATCCACTTTGGCACACCCGTCACCCACCGAAGGCCCCAGCGGCTGCGTTCACATGCCGCCACCCAACCACTTTGGCACACCCCTCACACGATTCATGTCCATGTGCCTGCGTTTACATGCGACCCCCCACCCTTCACACGTTTCGCAGCCCCAGAGGGAGCTCCACCCAAGGCCACGGCGGTTGCGTTCACATGCCGCCCCCCCCCCTCCACTTTGGCACACCCCTCATACGCTTCGTGGTCCCATAGGGAGCTTCACCCAAGGCCCCTGGCTGCGGTCACATGCCGCCCCCCCCTCCACTTTGGCACACCCCTCACGTGTTTCGCGGCGCCACAGGGAGCTCCACCCAAGGCCCCAACGGCTGCGTTCACATGCCGCCTCCCCTCCACCTTGGCACACCCCTCACACGTTCCGTGGTCACATAAAGAGCTCCACCTGAGGCCCCAGTTGCTGCGTTCACATGCCGCCCGCCGAAGACCCCAGTGGTGGTGTCGGCATGCGTTTCCCCCACACAGTACAACGCTTCGTGGCCCCATAGGTAGCTCCACTGAATGCCCCAGTGGCGGTGTCCGCATGCGTTTCGCCCACCCAGTACGGCGTTTCGTGGCCCCACAGGGAGCTCCACCGAGGGCCTCAGTGGCGGTGTGCGCATGTTCTTCCACCACCCTGAATACCTCCCTGTGGCCACATGGGGAGCTCCACTGAATACCCCGGAGGCGTGTCCGCATGCGTCCCGCCCACCCAGCACAGCGCTTCGTGGCCCCATAGGGAGCTCCACCGAAGGCCCCAGCGGCGGTGTCCGCATGTGTTCCCTCCACCCATCACAGCGCTTCGTGGCCCCATAAGAGGCTCCACCGAAGGCCCCAGTGGCGGTGTTCGCATGCGTGTCTCCCACTCAGCATCGCGCTTCGTGGCCCCACAGGGAGCTCCACCGAAGGCCTCAGTGGCAGTGTCCGCATGCGCCCCCCACCCAACGCAGCGCTTCGTGACCCAATAAGGAGCTCCACCGAAGGCCAGTGGCGGTGTTCGCATGCATCTTTCCTGCTCAGCACAAGGTTTCGTGGCCCTATAGGGAGTCCGACCGAAGGCCCCAATGGCGACGTGAGCATGGAGGCCCCGCTCCAGTTCGGCACACCAATCACACGCTCCGTGGCCCCATATGGAACGCCGCTAGGTCCCAGTGGCAGTGCCGCATGCGTCCCCGCCCCCTTTTCGGCACACCCTTTTCTGCATATGGCTGGGCCCTTCGCCAATATAACTGGTGTTCTCTCCACTGTCGTGGATTCATGGTGTTCCTGGTGTTCCTCGTCCTCCTCTTCATCCTCCTCCTCCTCCTCCTCCTCCTCCTCCTCCGTGTCCTCCTCCCCAATGCCTTGTCCATATAAATAACTTCGCCCAGTCGCACCCCGAGGCTTCAACATGTGGCTCTCGCCTTAGCACCGTGCACATGCGTTTAAGCAGTTGCAAGATCTTCACGGATCGAAGGCGGGTGGTTTTCAACATGTGACTCTCGCCTTAACGTCGCGCAAATTCGTTTTAAATATTCATGAGAGCTTCACGGGTTGAGGGCGGGTGGTTTTCAAACTGTGGCTGTTGCCATAGGCGCCGCGCATACTCGTTGTAAGAATTTGCAAGGAGCTTCTCGGATTGAGGGCGTGTCCTTTTCAAACTGTGGCTCGCGCCTTAGCGCCTCGCACAGTCGTTTTAAGCAGGTGCAAGAGCTTCGCGGATTACAATGATCCACGTACCCCTAATGGTGTTCTGGAAGGCGTCAGGGTTATGCGGGCGCAGCAGTTATGTTAATTCGCGATGCTGGAATCCCATACATGTCGTTCGGGAACGATTCCAAATCGTCAGGACGCAGCAGTCAGGTTGATCCGTGGCATGGAAATCCACAGACCAATGTTCTTCAAGGTCTTCAAACGGTTGTCTTCCAACGGGGCAATTCCCTCGATGGAGATGAACCGTTGTAGGGGCCTGTGAAGAGGGAGCGTGGAGGGAGGGTTCATACCAACATCGTTGATGACCCTTTGGGTTTACACTGGTCCTCATCCTCCTCCTCCTCCTCCTCCTCCTCCTCCTCCTCCTCCTCCTCCTCCATCACCCCCTCCCTCCCTCCCTCCCCCCCATCCGTCCCTCCCTCCTCCTCCATTCCTCCTCCTCCTCCTCCTCCTCCTCCTCCTCCTCCTCCTCCTCCTCCTCCTCCC